TGAATTGTAAATTTGAGTCTTAATGAGAGCTCATTTTAGATGGAGGTAAATTTGTAAATGTGGTGCCAGGTCACACCATCTGTGTTTCAGTGCACTGGGTGTTACGAAATACATGTAGGAAAAGGAAAGAGAAAAACTGAAGGGGAGATGTAGTGACAATTTCAAGTCCTCTTACAAAAAGATGCCATTCTGTTTCCAAACACATTGCAACATGTTACCTATTCTCCAGATTCTGTCTCTGAAAAAGGCTTAGCAGTGCATCTCTTTCAGTAGCAGATCTTGCATGTCGTTGGAATCTTGCTGTATTTCTCCATTTAGTTGATGGAGACCAACTGTGTAAGATGGTGGAAAACCAAATCCTCTCCCATTATCGATTATGGTTAGTAACAGGATATGAATAAGAGTGAATCAGCTACAGGTGTTAATGATGAGCTTCCCATTCAGTGACAGAAAGTAGTCTTATGATCTTCCAGCACAGTTTTGTCTAATAATAATTTCTGATTTCCATGTTAATCAAACAAATTCCCTTGATTAATTCCCTAATGAGACAAAGTGAGTTATAGACTCAAAATGTGAAAGGCTGTTTCCTTAACAAAATGTTCAGTTTACATAAGCCTTTTTAAATTTTTTTTTAAATGCAAATATGAAGTGAGGTCATACTCTTAAAATTCAAGTAAATATCCAGATGGCTTTGAAGAGCCCTGAGGGGAAAGAGGCTAACAAGGTGGTTCTTAAATTCCTGTTTAGTTAATGCTCTGTCTCTCTCCATCTTAGGTATGATTAAAGCTGGCATATGATATAGTGAGTAGAATATGCACAAATCTCACAAACAACTGAAGGTGTAATCTACCTTCCTCTGTGAGGTGCACTCTGCATTTTTGTATGTTGTAGAACTTTTTCATTTTTCACAGTCCTGAGGGATATGATAGGGTTTGATAAGGCAGCAAGGAAACTGAGGAACCACTTCTGCTTTATCCCCAGAATATTCAGGAAAAGCAGAGAGACACATACAGCTATTCTACCCACAGTGCACTCCTAGTTCCACTGCCTGACCTGTGTCTTCTAACTTTGTACTGTAAGAAATGTGTGTAATATTTTGAAGAAATTGGCATGGAGGTGGATAACTGCTGTGGCGTTTTCGACTACTGGAATCCTTTGATAAGCACCATCATGTTCGACAGTCCAGCTGTTTTTCGGTTCCTTTTAAGAGATGAATGTATCATGCACTTAATGCCTGTGCAGTCATCCACAAATGCACTGGTTTGTGTTTTCTTCAGCCTTCTCTTTTTGTTTGTTTCTGTAACATTAAGAATGTTTTGTATTGGTTTGTTTTTCATATGGATCATCAGTGAGTCATCATTGGCCAGGTAGCCTTTATTTTAAAACAGGAGAAAACAGCAGGCACGTAGCTTTCCACATTCTAGGTTTTGTAGCCCAGATTATGAAGAGATAAAAAACAGTGCACAGTATTTCAATATGCAAATATATTTAGCAGAGAAGAGTACACCATGACTACAGCTTTACTGTGCTGTACAAAGATGACATAATAATGGCCTTCTGAATTTGTTGATTTGAATGTAATGGGTATTCTAATTGCTGCAATTTCATTTATTCAGGAAAATAAAAAAAGTACCATATTAGTCTTTTTTTTCCTTCATTAGTCCACTTTTAATGTTAACTTTCATTACTGAGGCAAATGTCTCAGCCTGTAGAATCTGATTAACTGAATGTATATGCTAAAAATCTTAAAGGAGCAAAATACCCTTTTGCTGAATATATCTCACCATAGCTAGGAGCTAGTAATTGCTATTAAAGACTGATTCCTTAAGAATAATTGTCAAAATCTGTCTCAAGGACTGGTTTTCAACTAAGATTTTTAATCTACTGTAATGACTTCTATTTTTTCAAAGATATTTTTAGTAATACAATTTATAATAACATGTCCAAATTCCTAAGAGCATTTTATCATAGCCTAGTAGTAATGACTGCAGACTCTTCTCTAATAGATCTTGGTATTTAATAGCTTTGTCATTAAGGTTCTCATTGGAATAATTTATCAGTAACTTAATTATTTATCATTTTTTCTAAAAGGAGCTCATGGAACTGTAAAGATTTCAGCATTCTGAAAGTTACATCAATCTATAAAAATCAAAAAATAGTTCATTTCTATGTCTATAACTGACTGGGGAAAAAAATAGCCTCTGTCATTTTATACACAATGCACAACCTAGATGAGTTTGTTTGGGATGTAAGCTGACAGATTTGCATTGGTTTGACTGTGGCCTGGTTATAATTACTACCGTTTTCCGGTTTCCTGTGGCCAGTGCATTTTTGGAAAGCTTTTTAATAGAACAGCAACATTAAAAATAGAATAGAACTTTTAAAAGCTATTAAATTACTTTTAAAAATTGCGACACATCACAGTTCTTCCCGAGCTGAATGTTCACACTTGGGTTCCTGGCTTCAACCCACTGTGGAGGCAGGTTAGAACCAGACAGGTTGTACCTTAACTTCTCTTCAACCCTTGCAAGAGGATTTTAATTGAAATCTCTTCAAGGTCACCTTTATTATTTTCCCTCCACCTTCATGTGTAATCAGAGGGTATCTTTCTCTAAGGGAAATTAATTGTAAACTATACATGATATGGTATGGTGATACATGTAGACTGCCATGATTCTAAACACCTAGATTTTTCTTTCTGTTTTTCTTGGTTTTTAATAGCAGTGGGAACACTCACTGTGGTCTGAAGAGCAACGATGACTAAAGTGTTACAGTGAACTCTGCCAGGTCAAATGTAGTCAGAAAGCATAGCAGATATAACGGCACTTAATGTATGTCCTTGTTCAGGTACGGCTCTTGTATTCCTTAAGCTTTTCATTCTTAGACGTTCACTTCAGGGCTGCTGCAATTTGGCATCGGCAAGGTTGTGTCTGCAAAGTGCGGTACGAGCCCAGCGTTCTAATTCCTGTTCAGTAAAGACCAGCTTGGCACTAGGGCTTACGACTTGTGGTAGTTGTAACACCTATGACAGGTCCTTGCTATGGTCATTTATTGTTACTGTAAAAATCTGCCATGCTTGGAACAGAAAATAGAGGGAAGAGTTTAGTACAGGCACAGTCAGAGGTTCCAGGGGCTCAGCTTTTCTGTGAAAGCAAATGACTTTTGCAAAAACATTCTGTGTAGGATAGGATCCATACTGTTTCATTTAGCAGAACTGTGTGATGGAAAGTAACTGTCAGTGTTCAAATTAAAACCTGAGTCACTTAAGTAATGTTTTTAAAAGGACACAGTATTTTAAAGGGTAAGTGGAGAGACTGCCCTGCCCCTATTCACTTTCCTTGTGTGGCAAATCTAGAAATCCTGTGAGAAGATGCAAAAGTAAGGCTAGGAAAATCCCCCAAAGTCCTCCCCCTATAGATACTCATCCATGCCTTGCTGTTACCCAGGGCTGAACATGAACCACTAACCTGATTGTCACTCGCCAGTGGTTACTCTCTCCGGTACTTCCTTTCTAGGCAGGCTTGTTCTTGTCGTTTGAGTTGCTTCAGCGAGATGCTTGCTATACTTCTTGAAATGACAAGGTGAGCGTAAACGCAGGCAATAGACTAGCCCGTGGAACCCAGGGTTAGGGGTGAGGAACTGAGTCTGCTTTGCTCGTACCGTTTTTCTGATGCCAGTGGAAGAGAAACAAGTTTCAAATTTTGTGGTGTTAGGTCTAGTTCTCTAGGTCAGGTCACATACATATTGACAAAACTTGCAAGCTTTAAAAATGAATGTAAGCAAATCCTATAAACACTGTAATATATTTCTGTCTGCCGGTACTGATTTGGGTATTACACAGGATACATTTTTGAGACTGTAATATTAAAGAAACTTCTTCAATAATAGTGATACTCAGGAAATAGGGCAAACCAACTTTAATGATCATTCACTGTGAAGTGCTAAGTGGTAGGAATTTCTTCTTTTATTCATAGTGAACAAGCTGATGTATCAGTTTCTTATAGCAAGGGCAAAAGGACTGCTGAACAGAGCCAAATTTATTCTCACATCTAAAGACATACAATTCCACTGATTTCTGTGAAGTGACTTGGAAGAAAGATAGGTTTGGATTTAGAAAAATGTGAATTATTATGAATTTCACTTTCAGTTCTGAATTTACATATCTGACTGTTTTGATGCCCTTCATTGTTGCTTTTTTCTTGTGTGCCTGTGGCAATATGGGTAGAAATTCAGCATCACTTAAATGTGTGAGAAACTACTGTTAGCATAAACATCTTTATATTATGTTATTTTTATTATTATTCAGTTTTAAATTCTCCTCAACCAGTCAGGATAATAGCACAGTGTAAACTTTCATGAAGAAAAAAAACCATCTGTTTTCATGTGTAAACAGTTCATGGTAAATTCATATTTAAATAATCAAGAAGATTAAGAAATGTCTCTAAGTAGTTTTTTGTGAGCAGCACATGCAAAATCCCTTCAGTACCAGTGACGTTCTTTTTATGGCTATATTTACAATTTAGAGTAACTTGAATTACTCAGGTCTATCTAGGGGCTGTATAGATAAATCAAGTAAATGAACATTTATGTTCAGTTAGGCTCTTAAAACTGCTACATATATGTTTCATGTGTTGCTACAGTAGAGTGTGTCTTCCTCCTCAGCAGTAAATGTTTCAACTAAGGATCCAGGTTGAAATTATTTCATGACTTCTAGTGTTCATCATTTGATTTAAAATGTACAGTGATCTCATAAATTATTGAAAGGGAGACAGTGTTCACTTATGCCTTATTCTGTTGAGAAACAGCTTAAAAAAAAAAATAAAATCCAGCTTCAGCACTGCCATTTCAGTCCAACAGAAGTAATCAGACACAGTTTATAAAAACTGCTTATGTTTGCACAGAGTAGGCTGTAATAGACCTTTTCAGTTAATAGACGACTTCCTTCACATTTAAAGTTAGATGGAAAGCTCTCAAAATTCAATTATGGAATTTTTTCTTAGGTTGGCTGGCAGTTAAAGAATCTAGTAAATGCATTGCGGGAAGACCCAAATGGAGTGATTTTAACCTTGAAAAAACGTCCTCAGAATACCCTGGTTTCTGCTCCTGCCCTTCTGAAGAATGTGAGGTGGAAGCCTCTTGCACTTCAGGTAAGAAGGCTGTTGCAACACAGCCATAGTGTCATGGTAAACCCTTTACTCTGTTCAAGAGAAAATACTAGAATTTTTCCTTCCACTGAAAGGAACAGGAGCCTCTGAAGAGTCCCAGATTAATTTGAAGTAGCGTGCTGAGCTAAGTTTGTGTGGCAATATTGTGTCAATAAGAATGTTTTGCTTCATTTTTTGTGAAGTTGAGTGCCACAGGAATTCACACAAGGAAAGAACATTTACAGTAGTGTTTCTGAAGAACTAGTCAGTAGCTTGCTTTGACTGGCAGAGGCAACACTGCCTCCCTGTTTCCATTATTTCACAGTATGCAAAACTACTTGTTCGTTATCAAGTGTGTCAGACCTTTTAAATTTCAGGAAGAGTCTGCTTCTGTTACACATCTGTTATAAAGTTTGTGGTTTTAGTAGCAATGCTCACAGAACCTCTGATATTTTCTGCATACTTATTACTTGAAAAGCTGTTGACATGAAAAAATCAACTGTGAGCATCACAGCTGGTTCTTCCTACAACATACACATATGTCGTAAAAACTGAGCACTGTAAAAAGGCTGAACTCAGAATGTCATTATTGAAGGGAAGTTTTTTGAGTAAGTTAGGAACTATGCATCTTTAATACTGTGTAACATGCTGTAATAGGTTTATGCACTTCCATAATGTGGAAGTGTCACAGAGGTCTTTTGTTTGGATCACATGGTACATGAATGTGTTTCTATTTTTTAAGATAACAAAACAAAGCAAACCCTTCAAGCCTATCCAGGGAAATTCCCTTCCTGCCTCGTACTTCCTGAATCTTTCATTCCTCAAAGTGCCTAAATCCTACACAGCCACTTCACTTAAGGTGTTTGTGTGATCTTGCAGCTCAGGAGTGCACACACTTGAGTTTAGTGCCATCTTGCCTTTCTCTGTGACTACCTTCAGGGGAGAGCAAAGGGACATTGTGACACCCAGAGGAGATTCAGAACTCTTCAGATTTTCTGTGGTAAGGGTGCAGGAATAACATTCTTTGCTCTAGCAAAGTGATTGTGTATCTACTTGTGAACTTCATCTGAAGCCTTCAAGGGCAACAAGATGGAAATTACATTTGCAACAGCACCTCCATAGAGATCCTTTTGTTACGTTAGTACAGTAAAGGATCCTCATTCACAAGCAGCACTCGTTCTGGAAGTCTTGTCAGTGGGAAAACAATGGCATGGTATTTTCCACAAAAAATGCCACCCTTTGTCATGGTAGCCAGATAGTGAAAGTGATGTTTGTGGGATTATCAACAGTTTTTGTGATGTGTCTTCTCCCAATGACCCAGAATGTAAGAGCCCCTGAGGATCAAAGGGTGCTTTAAGTGTCATTCTCACTAAGATAAGTTTCTTCTATATTGGAGGGATTTAAATAAAAATATAAATAATATTGGAAAATACAAAGAACTTTGCCAGCGTTACTTCCTAATAGATTTTGTAATAAGATGTTCAAACCCAACTTTAAGTTGCATTTAACATCTTTGGGTCTTTTTCAGTCTTCATGCCACAGAGGCAAGCTCAAATATTAGGACCTGGATAAATGTCATTGAATCGTAGAATCCCAGAATGATTTGGGTTGGAAGGGACCTTAAAGACCATCCAGTTCCAACCCCCCTGCCATGGGCAGGGACACCTTCCACTGGATTTCAGGAGACAGGTTTTTGTTTTGCTTGTTTCCTACAGTTCTCACCTGGCTTTAGTATTATTTATTACTGACATTAATGACTTGGAACTAGCATGATTAAATTTCAAGATGATATGAAAGCTTGTTTCCTGGACAGCTGACATAACAGCTTGATGCTGCTGGAAAGCAATGATCTCACTTCCCTCTCCCTGTTCTTGGCTGTAGAATGTCCTTGCCTTTGACTTTGACATTTTTTAGACTCTCTAGATTGGTTTAATTCGTTGAATCGGTAGGAAGGCTTCTGGGTTTATTTATTTGTTTTTCTGAAGTTTTCTACCACTAATGGATTAAATTGGCTCTCACAGAACAGAGGCTGTCAGACAGACTTTCAGCAATAAGCAGAAGACATTCAGCATGGACAGGAGGTTTCATACTTAGACAAAAGTAACCAGCTGCATGAGTGTAGGGTATGGAACAATCAGTTAAGCCATCATATGTAGAAAAAGATCTCAGTTAAAGTAAATCAAAACTGAAAACAATTCAGCAAATGTCAGACCGTCACAATAAAATGTAACGTATATGGATGTGTTATATTTCATGGTGTGTTACATATATGGGTCTCTATGTTGCTCTGCATGGGTCATTTGTCATGGTGTGTTACATGTATGGATGTATGACAACACATGCAGAGCAATTCTTCCATTCCAATTTCGTGTTGGTAAGAAACCAAACAAAAGCAATACATAATTAGGGAAGGACCAAAGGAAGTAGGATTTAAGAACTTGGCATTCAGAGGCCAGAAATAATATTTGTTAGCTCAGGTTTGTGCGCAGCAGGAATTAAATAAAAGCTGTCATGTTTTCTACTATTGCTTGAGGCATTTACAGGTGTTACAAATAATTTTTTCCATGAGAATTCTTTCAAATTATACCAGATAGTTAATTTAGGAATTATTAATGGTACAGAATCTGTGAATCCTTATAAAATTTATTTCTTGGTCTTGTAGTATGCCTTTGCTGTATATAGTTTCCCTTGATGGTTAATTAACAACAGCAGAATGTTAATGTATACCAAAGTTCTGTACTACAATTACCTTCCAGTGAGACAACATGTCAGTCATACCAGTTTCTCATTTTTTCTCTAGTTGGCATTATGTGATATTAGAAGATGATTTTCATTTTTAGACTCTGTGATTATCTTCCCACTCAACATAAAATGGTTCTTTCATCTGTAATGGCAAATATTGGTATGGTTTTTATAAAAGTGAACACCCTGACAGCCTCATTCAAATAAAATATACCATTTATTGTAATTTTTTCTTTTTATTTTCAGAAATCTTCTAGTTGGAATAATCCTTCCTCTTGCAAGTACTTGATCCAGAAAATTAATTTTTTTATTGTTTAGCTTGAGATATAGAATCTATCAGGTGATCTGAGTATTAAAGATGATATTAGCAGTGATAATTTTGTAATAATTCTTACGTATTAGAAAATACATGTTATGCTCTGCAATTTTGTAATTATCTTCAGAATAAGCTAGGTAAATAGTTTGTGATTTTGAAAACCAAATAATTTGGAGGGGTGTTGCTTTGAACAAAAGGTAAATTCTATAGCATTATCAGAACAGGTGACTATAGAGTGAAAAAAGGAAACTAACACGTTGGTGTATACCACTCAAGTTAGTTCATAGTTTGGGTACTTTACCCCAGTTGAATTGCCCTGACATTATGTGCTGCCCCTTTGCTTTGCTATCTTAGTGAGAAATACCTCGGGCAAGGAAAGACTTGTAACAGCTCAGCCAAAGGACATGCAGCAAGTAAGAACGTTGCGTTCTGTTCTCCTAAATGTCTTCTGTCAGAGGAGATGGTGAACAGTCACTTTGGTTTTGCTTTTTATTGCTTTTATTGATTTTTGTCATATTCATATGTATCTCATTGTATCCTCTTGTTCTGAGGATAAAAAATATTATTTACACATCAGAGGAGGTATATATTTCAGGTGTCAAAAAAGAAAAATCCACAGGACTGTAGGACACTGTGAATGTACATGCTGTTTTACAGCACAGCAACACCAATTTACCAGGATGTGAGACATTCTCAGCCGTTTTGAGAGTTCTGTTTCTTATTGTGAGTAGTATTTGTATTGGTGAACATTCAATTTTTCTGAATAGCAGCTTGTCCAATAAGCAATTAGTCATCTGTATCACTATCATGAATGAGTCTATTCTGACAAAAAATACACACTGTAGGAATCTGTAGGGTGATACACAGTTACAAAGCCCCATTTTCCCTTACCGCAGGCAACCCATGTAGAAGAGTGACGCCTGTGTGTTTTCTGTGAATTCACCCATCAGGGGAATTCTAGTTTATTCCTTCAAGGCAGAAAGCAGAGACTCAGTACCCCGTCCTTAATCTTCATGCCCCCTCTAAAGGTAAGGGAAGTCCATGTTCAAGCCCCTTCTTGCTGTACCACGGGGCTTTACCAGCTTCCTGCATCTTGTCCTGCTGGTTTTTGCAGGATGCACTGGGGTCATATGTTTGTTGCTTTGAACGGCACTTTTAAAATAAAGACAACATTTAATTAACCCAAATATATGCAAAACACACTCAGAATCACAATGTAATTTGTTTCTGAAACAATTTGAATTTTTCTGTTTAGCAAACAATTGCTTATTTCTGATGAGTTTTGAATTTACTATATGTCTTTCATTTTTATTCTGGTATTTCAGCATTGCTTAATCATTTTACTGGTAATTATCTATTTTCATTTAAAAAATGAATAACATACAGCAGATACCTGAAGAGTCACTTTTCAGAAGTCCTCTATAAAGAAACAAGTTTTCATTGGCATTTTTTTCACCTGTGCATGTATTTGCACACCCTTCGGCAAACATTCATTAGTACACACACAGAGTCAGTATAATCACTTAAGACATAAAGAATTGACTATTCTGTTTAATTGATAGTCCTGGTAGGGATGATATTTGCTATTTATTAAAAATAGCTTTTTGGCTTTGGTATCATACTAAAATATCATATTAAATACTCATATTAAGCTGTTTTAATAATATTTAAAGACCCCTGTGCTATTTTGCAGATATCTAAACTCACTGAAATTCCATGTCGGATATCCCAGACATATCTGGAGCTTTGAGTGAAGGTGTACATCTTTGCTGCCTTCACTCTGAGCTCCAGATCATAGAGTTCATTGTATTTGCTGGAATTCTCTGAGTGATGATAGAGGAGAAAACTGTTTTTTTCTCTTCACTAAAGACTCCCAGGGGAAGGTGGTCTTCTGTGAGTAACTAGCAGAATCATTCAATGTGGGTTTTTTTGGGTTGGTTGCATCCTTTGAGGAAGGGATAGAAACAGTCATTTGTTCAAAGACATAATGTCCAGGAAATTTGTGGAAATCACTGAAGATGGGTATTTTTCATAGAAAAGGTGGAAAACATAAATAAAGCTGAGAGGAAGAAGGCAGGAGACAGCTTATCTGAGAGCAGTCATGAAACAGTGTATTTTCTTTAAAACTTAGGACCGTTATACAGGGAAAGTGAACTTCAAGAGCATGTGTTTCTGTAAGCTCAGCGGGTGAGCCTTACAGTATGCCATTTGGGAAGACAAGAAGAGCTGGTATTTCCTTGGGGACAAAGGGAGGAGGCACTCTTGGACCATTGTTTTTCAAGCATATTTACTGTGAAATTGTAGGCGATGGATGCATTGAGTTTTGAAAAACAAGGAGTACAATGCTTTTCTTCAGAAAGGAGAAATGCAGGAGCCAGGGAATTACAAGTCGGTCACTTAATATGCACAGCTTGCAAGCACTTGGAAGATAACAGATGAGTAAAAACAACATGAATTTATTATGAAGAAAGCATTAAACAGATTTAATGCTCTTATGTGAGCACTTAACCAGCCTGGTAGATAGTAGAGAAGCTGTATATCTTACTCTGATATTAATACCTTTTCTCATGACACTTTTATGAGTATGACATAGAGAATTAAGGACTAGGTGAAACTGAGATTGAATGGGTAGAAAATTACTGGATAACCTTGCCTAACAAGTAGTGTTAATGGTTCACTATCAAACAAAGATTGTATCATTTAGTTTTCAACAGATTGGTGATAGGTGTGGTCTTGTTCCATGTTTTTCTGACAAACGTGAAGGATCTGCTTACTAAATTTGCATGTAGTGCTAAACCGGGGGGTGGGGGGTTAAAATGCAATGGAGTCTTGGCTGGTGATTAAAAATTAGTTTAAAAAACTACCAAAATCTGTAAAGATGTAAGGAAATGAGAGAGAGGCAGGTGTAAGGTATGCTTTGAAATAACCTGGTGCAGTTTTAAAGAATGTAGAAATTGAGTAATATGACAATAATTCCAAATAATGTGGAAATTACAGTAAACAAAAGCTGAATGTCATGTTAGGAGGAATTGAAATACCTGACTGAGAGACATAAATAGGAATATAAAACACAAGATAAGTGAAATAATTATTGTGCTTTATTCTGTATTAGTACAGTCTCAGCTGGGTACTAGTATACACTGGGTACACCTAGTGTAATCAGCTGGAGAAAGCACAGGTACACAGTTCATTAGTGTTTTAGAAAACAAGACCTATAAGGGAAGAAGAAGGTGTTTTCTTGTTTTCTAGCCACAATAAAGGGAAACAGATAGTATTCAGAAAGTAAAAAATAATGAAAAATTTAAAGAAGAAGGAAAAGGAAAGTTCTCACTTTCTGGGATGGGTAGGACATTAACTGAATTAAATTGAAGCAAAAAAGATTACATTTCTATAAGGTTATATTGTTAAAAAATCTATCAGCAATAGCATGGCTATCACCCTCTTAGGTGGCAAATTTGAACGATCATATCTTTCCCCACCACTTTTTCCTATTTCCAACTTCTGTCAACTTCATTGACTAACCTGTAACCTTGACAACTGCTGAATATACAGCCATTGAAAATAAATTAGTCACAAGAGTCTTGTTATAGGTTCAGCGCAGGGCCACTGAGATGATGAAGGGCCTGGAGCACCTGCCACATGAGGAAAGGCTGGGAGAGCTGGGGCTGTTCAGCTGGAGAAGAGGAGACTGAGGGGGGATCTTATCAGTGCTTATCCATATCTAAAGGGGGGGTGTCAGGAGGATGGGGCCAGGCTCTTCTCAGTGGTGTCCAGTGACAGGACGAGGGGCAATGGCCATAAACTGGAGAACAGAAGGTTCAACCTCACCATGAGGAAACCCTTCTTCCCTGTGAGGGTGCCAGAGCATGGAACAGGCTGCCCAGAGAGGTGGGGGAGTCTCCTTCTCTGGAGACTTTCCAAAGCCCCTGGACTTGTTCCTGTGTGATCTACTCCAGGTGACCCTGCCCTGGCAGGGCGTGGGACTAGATGATCTCTAGGGGTCCCTTCCAACCCCTTCCACTCTGTGAATTTCTTTTCTGATTCTGAACTGGAGTTTTGGCTCATCTTTCTGTGATGGTGATAATTTATGTTTTCACCCGTGGAAAACTATCTCCAGTTGCAGATAAATTGGGGGTTACTGCCGCACCAAACTGCAGAAATAATGGTAGCATTCTAAATGTACTGGTCGATAATTGTGTATAAGATGGTAGGCCCTAATTTCCCAACATATGAGAAAGTAAGTGGTGAATGATCCTTGTCTTTGGCAGTTGCTTCTTACTTATTTATATTGATAATATGAAAGAAACCTAAACCATTTGATCAGAGTATAAGAAGCTTAACAATAAGCATAGAAGAGTAGTGCAATCTGGGCCCCCGTGCAGACCGATATTGTCATGAAAAAACATCGGGTGTTGGCACTTAGGAATATTTGTTGAATAGCATAAAAATAATTTCAGTGATTATCTCCAGAAGATAGAAAACATTGCATTAAGAAAAAAATTATAATTGGTCTTCATAGCTTTCATCCAATTTCTAGGTTACTGTGTTTTCCTTCTGCCAGTAGGAAATTGGTTATATCTCTTCAAGCACAATTTTGTATCTGAATGGACTTTTTCATATAAGTAATCTAAACAATAATACTGAATTTAAAAAAATCAATTTATTGAGTATAAACACAGATTGTACCTTCATTGAGAAATGTTCTTTGTGTACATATCTTTGTAACCTGCACAGAATATTTGGTTGTAGTCCTTATAGGCATTAACTTGAGCTTTCCTATGGCACTGGAGTATAAAAATTGTGTTTCACTCCATTTAAAAATTAAAAAAAGCAAAAATCCAAAAAGACACCCTGACTTTATTAATACTCTTCATATTTATGATGTTCACATATATTGCTTAGGTTAATTTAGATTTAATTGCTAGTCACCATAGAACCATACAATCATCATGCCTATGGTTTCAGCAAAAAAATAAACAATAGATTGCTATACATTCTGTTTTCTTCAGAAAATCTAGGTATTCTGTTCTTAGTAACAATGAATCTTCTACTGAAGCCATCATTATGGTTATGAACACTTTCATTCAGTGCAAGTATTCCAGAGTTCTGTAATTAATTTTTGTATTAATGGCATTTAATACAAAATTATAATTTATTATCCCCATAGAACTGATTTTCAGTTGGTTAAAAATCATATTTCAATTCCGAGTCTCAGATTTTTCCATGAGATGGCTTTTAAATTAATTTCATTACTGGTCTTTTATCAGTTTCTCTCATAACTAGTCTTTACCTCTTTGGTAAAACAGTGTTTCAGTAGACACCTTTTTGGAACAGTAGTTCAAAACAATGACTGATCCAAAAAAAGAGGTCAAGATTCCTCAAACAATACATATTGACTTTGGTTTTCCTTGTAGTGGAGAAAACATTAATTTATTACTTCTGTGGGTTTTTTTTGTTTGTTTTTTACAGCCTGTAATTCCAACCAGTCCAACAAGCAGTTCTACAACACCAACAAGTACAATGGGCTTATCTTCAAAACTGGAGAACTCGGCACTCCAGGATGTTTTCATTCTGTCTCCTATGTCAGGACTTTATGGCCCCAGGTATTTACATGCTAATGAATCTGGGGTTTTGACAAATAAAACTTTACACTTTAATTTCACTAGACTAACAAAACCAAAGAAACAAACAAAAAGCCCCATAATCAAACTAAATATTTACTAAAATTAAGAGCTAGGAATACATTAGGCAACATATCAGTGTTTTGTGAGACTTAACTTTCACTTAGCTAGATACCAGTTGAGCAAAACCGGGGTTTAGCCCTAAACCAAGAGTGCATTTACAGAAGCCTTTAATCATTTAGGTTTATTTACTTTTATGTGACTACTTGTGTCTTAGTGTAAAGCAGGCATTTCTGCAAGGGAAACTCTTACCTTCCCATATTATACCAAATCCTTATGCTCCCTCTCAAAAACTAGAAAACTCCTGAATAACTACCTTTGCCTTGTAGTTAAAATGGAACTGAATGATGATTTCATTAATTAAAATTTGTTGAATTGCACCACTTTTATGAAAGTTCACACATACAACACTTCAATTATGGGACTTATTGTAGTGTTTGGGAGAGTTGTACATGTCAGTTTTTTCCTAAAATGGTTAATTTCTCCACAATAATCTAGTTTACTGTTTTTAGGGATGAAATTGGAATAATGTCCTGTGATGACATCAGCAAATTTGGGAAGTCTGGAATGAAAGGCTCTGAGTCTCCAAGCTATTTTCTGGAGCATGAAAGTGGGAAATACTACACTTTAATTGAAGGTGAAGCCCACCCTGTGGGCTCTGAGTATGAGAGAAGCAGAGCTACAGGAGTGCGGAGAAGAGAAAAAACACCCACTCACGGTAGGCTTGATTTCTTTAACCTTTCAAAACTGACCAGGTTTACAAATGCTGCTATTAACGCTGCAACACCCCCAAATATCTCTCATTCTTAGACCGTAACATGTTGGCTCTGATACTAGGCAAAAGTTTATGTGAAGGGATATTTGGTATAATTTCAAGCTAACATTTGTGATCAGGAGTGTGTAAGTTATTTGTTCTGCAGTGCACACTTAAAATTTTGAATGAGACATAAGTTCATAATATTTCGATAACTAGCATCTTGTTTTTATGCAGTTTCATTCACAAGCTCTTGGAGGTTACTTCACTTGCAGTGTTCTGGACAATTAAGCTTCAGGGGAGGTCCTGAAAAGACTGACTGGTGGTATAAAAGTATCTATAAAATATCAGGCCCTCCAAAATTCAGCGCTGTATTAAATGGATATAATTACATGAGCAGTATCCTGCAGTGCATTGTTAATGCTAGAAATACATTTCAAAATCTTAGAATGGGGACTGCTTAAACACCTAAGATGCTCTTAAAAAATAATATACTCTGGTTTTATATAAAAATCTTGTGTGTATGTAAATCCATATGGGTGTACAGGTAGGCAAACTGTGTGTGTTTGTATATGATAATATGTATCTATGTAAAAGGCATTGCTCAAAAGAAATTGATGGAACTTTTTCTTGGTTTATCTGTAAAAACCGATTTGGTCAGTGCTTGGTGAATTTTAGAAGAATACTACTGAAATATAGTGGTATATTTCCATATATTTGCAGTGGTTTTATTTTCAAGGCAGTAAGTTATTTTTCTGAAGTTTACAGACTTAAGATGAAAGACTTTTCTTAAAAACTGTTAATTACATCTGATTTTGAAAATGACATTATTTTTAAGCCTCCAAGAAAGCAATGACAACTCCTTCAGAGTAGTAAAGAAAAATGTGTCTGTGAAGAACACAGGTAATGAAAACCTGCTGCAGTTCAATGGAGATAATACCAAAGGCAATTGTAGTGGCAGATCCAATAACAGCTGTAATGGAACACAGTGGGGAAAAAAAAAAGAAATAACTTCAAGCACTCCAGGCACTGATTCTGTAGATCTGCCATATAACTGGTTAGTCTCTGGTGCCAGCTTTGACACCATGGATGTTATTAAATGTAGTTTCCCACACTTCTTTCAGCTGTTAGTATTTAGAGATGGTGTGGGTTTCTCTTCCCTGTTCACAGACTGAGGTGTTCTTACCACCACAGATGTTAGAAAAGAGGCAACTGGCAGCTCCAGATGGGAAAACAGATTTTGATAGTTAAGGGGTACAAGCAATTTCCTTTTGGCAATAAATCATAGAAATATAGTATGGTTTGGGTTGGAATGGACCTTAAAGATCACACAGTTCCAACACCCCTGCCATGGGCAGGGACACCTTGCACTAGACCAGGTTGCTCCAAGCCTCATCCAGCCTGGCCTTGGACACTTCCAGGGATGGGCCATCCACAGCTTCTCTGGGCAACCTGGCCCAGGGCCTCACCACCCCCTCCGGGAAGAACTTCTTCCTGATATCCAATCTAAACCTCCCCACTTTCAATTTAAACCTGTTACCCCTTGTCCTGTCACTACAGGCCCTTATAAAAAGTCCCCCCCAGCTTCCTTGTAGCCCCTTCAGGTACTGGAAGGTGCTATAAGGTCTCCCCGGAGCCTTCTCTTCTCCAGGCTGAACACCCCCAACTCTCTCAGCCTGTCCCCACAGCAGAGGTGCTCCAGGCCTCTGAGCATCTTCGTGGCCTCCTCTGGTCTTGGTCCAACCAGTCGATATCCTTCTGATATTGGGCCTCGGAGCTGGACGCAGCACTCCAGGTGGGGTCTCACCAGAGACAATTAAGTAATTTCACCTACTGCTTTGAGAGCTGAGGAGGTAGAACTCGGGTCTGAAAATTAAAAGTTGCAAGGATACTTCAAATTATGTCAAGCTGCAGTGATAGCTCACCACAGCTAGAGAGTGATAATTCAGTGTAGCTAGACTTTCCTAACAAAGGACATCCCTTTTGGAAGTGTTGTTCCGGTTTTGTCATTCTAATAGTTTGAAAGAAATCTTAGCCTGTGTTTATCAACTAAACAGAACTTTGTCCTGTTTTTAAATTTTACTAATTTCAGCTGGATTTATGGTAAAAATGTCAATATACCAATTGTAAAATGGACAGGATCATGTATATCTATATATATACACTACCTTTTCAGAATAGGGAAATTTTAATAGATTGCTGTTATATGTAGGATATTTTTAGTAACTTGTACAGCCATATGCTCAATGCTTGAAAGAGCTGTAATGCTGAAGAGTAGGATTCCATCTGAAGACTTGTAATACTCAGTCATTTTCTCCTTGATAAGTGACATCATTTTATAATAAATTAGAATGAAAGATAGATCTTAACTGTGATTAAAATTGGAGCCAGATGGATGTATTTGGCTTGCTTTCATAAATTCATGCTGCATGATGACCTAAAATATTGGGCTCTTTGCCTGATATCAGTAATACACAAGATTTTTCTTGTGTTTATGATGGATGTGATCTGTAACTTTGACAATCTGCAAGTAATTTGATTTTAAAGTCTCAGGAATGTGCCTTTGTTAAAGCAGAATTTTGTAAACTACAGGTTAAATTAATCTGTTAGTTAACAGACTTCCACATCCAAATTTTGATCTACTGTAGTAGTACTTTTTGACTTAAAGATTTACATTTGAACCACCAGAGTGATGATACATCTTACAGCGGAAAGACATGATTTATGGTAGATCCAATAAGCACCTGTGTGATTCTGGATCCACATAGCCCTGGGCAAAGTAAGGAAAATAAAACCTCTGAATTCTTTCATGGTTGAGCAAACACTTTCATTATTGCTAGGACTCACACAAACCACAGTGCAGAAATTTCTGCCATGGATTTACCAGAATTAAATCCAAATTTGAGATTAGGAGTTGAAGAATAGATTTGTAGTTAAAGGTAGTTTCAACTGTTAGGGGGAAAGGGAAACTACATATTCCACACAATTATACACTAAATTTTGAGGTATAAGCGGAAGTGTAATACGGGAAAAATCTCAGTACCCTAGATATATGTTACCACTTCAATTTTCAGGAAATCATGTTATCCAGAAGCATATTTGTCTTGTATACCTGTTTGTTCTTAAATCCTCTTACCATTTAGGTAGCTAAAAAGCTGTACTTTGGAAGAATGGTGAATAAAAAACTATATTAGCATACACCTGTTCTACAGAAAATACTTTGTCATTCTAATCAACCTTGGGAAATTGATAATGAAAAAGAAACTCTTGTTCACATTTAAATTCTATAATTATCCTAAAAACAGAACAGTAGCAGACTACTTTAAAAAAATTTGCCAGCGTGTTAAAGAAACACACTAAATTTAGACAGCTGGCATACGGAAAAAAGAATCTTTGGCTGTATGGGTCAGACAGAATTTAACCCATAATCTAGAGGGTGTGTTTTTGTGTTTTGTGATAACAATGCACACTGACAAGGGCAAAGTGCTAATGCTTTATAGCCAGTTCTGTAGTATTCCTCGTTTAATGGCCTGCTACCAGTGTTCTACTGATACTGTAGTAGGGAATGACTAATGCACATTAGTATCTTACAACCACAGTGCCATAAAATCATATTAATTAAAACCCTAATGTCCGAATCCTTTTGTTGTTGTTAGCAAACTGCACTCCAACCTTTCTTTTTAAGGTATTTGAAGTCAATATTCCTTGAAAATATGAGATCCCCTCATTACTCACTGTGTGTTTTTTCCAGGTCAGATAGGTTTTACTGTTTAACTGACAGATATGTCATAGTCTATCTGCATTAATAGTCTTTCTAGTTTTACTAAAGCATATTTTGCTGTTTAAAAACGGCTTCTCTCTTTATTCCAAAACACTTATTTACTGAGTGGGTTAGTTTTTACAGAACAGGGTTTAAAAATAAATTTGTAGTCTGCTTTACATTTACAAGTGATTTCACCAAAGCCAGTGGTACTTTCCTTCAGATCCGTATAATGAAGAGGAGAATCCAGCATATACAGTGTTTAATTCATCCCGAATGCTACAGCTTTAATAATGTTTAAGTGCTGACAAAAAGGATTGCACTGAAGGGTCATGACATGCCTATAATTTATAGGCATTACTTACTCTACAGCATTCTATTTATAGTCTTCAAAAATTATATTGGTTTATCTTGAATTGTTTCCAGGAGATTTAAGGCCTGTTTCTATGCCTGCTGAGTACAGTTGGATAGGGGAGTCAAAAGAACAAAACATGTACAAGAGGGGAAGCAGAGGTGAGTATTTTTTTTTAGCTGCTGTTCTCCAATTCTTTTTTTCTAACTTTTTTTTTTTTTTTTAATTACTTAAAAAACATGAAGATCCTATCACAGGAACCAAATCTATTTTTCTTGAGTGCCATGGAGAATATAAATATAAATCAATATAAAAAGACTTACAAGAGTCAGATGTATCTTAATAGCAGTTCTTAACCTCCACATTTCTAGAAAACAGTAAGTGCTGTTACAGATGTACGGTAATGTCCTTTGACACGCATTTTGATTAGTACAAATGAACATTTGAAACCAGAATCAGCAATTGTGCTGCCACTGTTCAGACCAGCAGTCATATAAATTCCTAGTCATATAAATTTCTATTGATTCCAGTAGGAGTTAGGAATTTTGGAAGAATCATAGAATCATAGAATCACTAGGTTGGACAAGACCTTAGAGATCATCCAGTCCAACCGTATCTGTCTGCCACTAAACCATATCTCTCAGCACCTCACCCACCCGTCTCTTAAACACATCCAGGGATGGTGACTCCATGATAATAGCAAAGTTCCTTTTTTTCCTTTTTTTCCTCTGCTAAAAAAAAATACTATCATTCAAAAGAGTATTTTCCAAATATGCAAATATGTTTATTCTTATGCCAATTGTTATAGATGCCGAAATAAATACTATTTTTTCAGAATCTTTTAGACACAGCATGGGTAGCTGAGAGGAGGTCAAGTTGACTACTTATAAAATGACAAAGTTGAGTGATACTCTTGAAAATGAATACAGATTTTTTAAACTATCTTTTTCAGTAATCTTCCATTCCAAGAGAAAATAAAGTGCATTTAAGGCACAAGCCTTTTCTGCTTTATTCCAAATCTGTTGATTTATGTTTAGGTTGTGTTTCAGACAGATCCCTTTCCTCAGAATTGTTGCCTGGCCAGTTCAGATTTTGAAACTGTGCCCAAGTATACTGCACACCTCCTTAAAACCGTTATTCCAGTTTATCAGGTTCCTGGAAATTACAATCCTTGTCTCTGGAATGGTTCCAGAGCTGCCCCCTGCTTGATTCAATTTCCCAGTGTTTCATGCCTATGCCCACTTTCACCTGCAATAGCTACCTTCATACTGTCTGTCATGCAAGGACCTGGGCATGCCCCACCATCTTTTCTGCACCTCGGTTTTGTGCCAAATGCCTAGTTTGCTCTTGATTGGAACTTTGGTACGAGGAAGTGTGTGTGCAGAGTAAAGAGCCTCTGATGAAGTGGGGAATTAACCAGACTGACCACACAGATGCAGCCAGACCCAGCAGTTTGTTTCCTCTTCCTAATGTTTCTTTTTTCTTTTTTTCCCTCCAACAACTGACTCTGAGAATTCGCTCCTGCGGTATCTGAGTGATGACAAGATACTGGTTATCCAAGAAGAGCCTTTGGCACAAAAGGACAACAAAAGGGACACAGGTCGTAGGTCAAGAAAAAAGGGCAAAACCTCAAGCAGTCCAAACTACCCTATTAGTCCATCTGTACTGACATCTACTATTAATGTTAGGCTTGAACCTGGGCAGCAAGATATCTTGAACTTCTCGCTAGCAGAAAACAATACCGTTCCACTGTATCACGTAAGTACATAACAAAAAACCTTATTAGATAACATACATGGAAAACACTACAATGTTTTCCTTTTAGGATTGATGCACGTATAAAGGCACATTTTTCTACTTTATGTCTTAATGTTGTATTTTATAATCCAAGAAGATTGCTTACCGTCAGTATTGCAATAGCTTTCACATATGAACAGTCTAGACAGAATGGAAAAATGCAAGGCAAGGACAATTTGATAGCATATGCTTTAAGTAAAATAGTGCTCTTAATTACTCAGTCTCACTGAATCTAGTGAATACTGATAATATAGGAAATAATTTGGATGAAAAAACTATGGAGACAATATAAATCATTGGATGAATGACCAGCCAGTTCTTGTAGCCACCGTGAAAGAACAGCAGGTTCTCATGACTATTGGCTAGTGCAGAATTTTGCTGTACTGATTTGGATGTCCTGAAATAATCCATAGCCTTTCAGACATCAGTCCTCACTGTTCATGCTTTGTATGTGCATACTGCCTTTTATAGAGGCACTCTTAAATTTTATTTATGGTCTTGCCATACAGGAGAGGACTGCTCCATTCTCATGATACAAAGTAGTATTTTCAAAGTATTTTTGGCTCAAACCTTAGTATCTTCATGGCAATTTTTTACTAAAAAAAAGCCCATTTCCTCCTCACATTTCATGTGGAAGTTTTCAAAGGTGTTTATTTTCTAATCATGATGGATTTCCACTCAGAAAGATCTAAGTGAAAAGTAGGACTTGTAGAAAGGTTCTTCGGTCTTTGTTGCATTTGGGGATTTTACTTGCTGTTTCTCTGAGCCAAATCTTAGGAGATGACTGTATTCACATCAAGTCTGAGAAGGTTCACCTTGGGAGTGAAATATAGCCAGTGATTCATCTCTGTTGCTGCAAGCTGTCAGCATTTGATAGTCCAAAGATCATATACTTTTCTTCTGTCTTCAGGAAATTTGTTTCCCTTTCCTATGACACTTGAAGTTAGTGCTTTTGGAATGGTGGAAGGTCTTTTTCCCCAGCTTCAGAGAAAATCATGTAGTTTTTAAATCATGTCATGTGATTGCTTAGCGGGAGATGTTTATTCTGTCCATAAACGCTTATGGACATTATCAGGATCAAAGTCAAGGAAAAGGATTTCAAACCCAGAGAGAAAATTAGTAGCTAGTTTACTAGGAGGAACGATAAAATTCTTATAATGTTTCATAACTTGGAAGATGAATCAACAGTTTTAATTTTTGGAAGAGTGATGATTTACTGTTGACTCACCTGACTTACGAAGAAAGGGAAATGAGTCATGTAGGGTAAGGTGCTAGTTGCATCCTTTGCATAATGGTAGTTGTTGGTTAAGTTCCCACAGTCAGGGCTGTTGTACCATGACTTATTTTTCATCATCAATGCAACCTCAGTTTAAAGTTCCAAGGCAAAATAAATTTCCTGGGATATTCAAGATGAAAGTTGTTGTTTAATTCAATTAAACCTGAATTTAACACTCAGAGTTTGTTAGAAAATAACCACATTGAATTAGTTCTATTCCCCTTCTGGCCTAGCCATGACAGAAGTCATAACTTCAGGGGAAGGTAGAAAGAGGCAGAATTCGGGCAATGTACGGCTCTCACCAAGATAGTCAGAAGTTGATAGTCCTGAAGTGGATGCTCTTTCAAAAATAAAAGGGTTATTTCTCTTGAAGATTAATATGCCGTGTATTCACCATGATGTCAGAACTGAAGATGTATTACCTTGCATGATTTCCTTATCATTTTACGAGCTTTGTGTTCTGTATGGCAGTTTGCAAATCACTCCATACAGCAAAACAACCAGTTGCACATCGTAGAAAAATTATTTTGTCTTAAAGGTCTGCATTATTGTAATATGCAGGTTTAAATTATTTTTGCCAACTGTGCCCTATTTGGAGGTCACGGTGACTAGGAGCAGTTTTTCATTCTGTGGCTTTCATTGCGTATTCAAAGAAATGCAACTATTTGAAACAGACATGATAAACTAGTAATATGATATTGTATTATAATATAATAGGTATTTAAAAAATAATTACATATGTCAACTGTAAAGTGTCTGAAGGAAATGCAGGAAACTGGAAAAATGCAGTATCATGGGGGGAGATAACATTACATGCAGTGGTTGGTCTACGCAAAATGTCAGTGCCATACCTCTTGCATAAACTTTATTATGATGTACAGTAATTACAGAGGAGGACACATGTAAAATGATTATTCATGGACTGTCAGAGTGGTATCAATTCTTTTGTCACCATAAATTTTCTGAGCATCTTAGAGACAGACCTTTGCAGACCTTCAGGATGTAGTCACAGGAATCAGAATATCTCAGGCACTTAGTCAACTGCCTTATAAATATACAAGAGGAACTGAGTCGACAGATATACAAGAGTTGCTGACACAGGTATTGTGGGTTCTTGCCAGTACAGAATCATTCGAATTAACAACATCTTTCCACTTTGAATACTGAAAGAATTCTGAGGAGTGAAGCAGAAAATTGTTTGGCATATCTATCCTGACAGACAGCTATCCAGAATGAAATTTTTAAAGATCAAAGAACATTTAATAGCATTTTGATATCGGAAAGGAAGAGAAAAATAAGATAGCTGTGTTCCCAGGTAGAAATTCAGGTGTTAGGTAGCTCGTCTCATTTCTTCAATACCTAAAGGTGTTACCAGGTTTTTCATAAGCATTTTTAATATATTTACTCACTTGGATAATGAGATTTCATTCTGTCAAGGATTCATTCTATAAGACTAACATTGGTAAAAAGAAGATACCTCTAAGGTTACCTGACCAAATTACCATAAACCAGGTTTTGCTACTTTCATATTAAAAAGAACAAAAGATAATTTGTCTGAGGACTGCTTACCTTTTCCCTGCTTCTACTCTGTGTTCTTTTTTTCTGATAGCAGTACTATCAGTGATAAAACTGCTTTTTTTTTTCTGTGGTTGGGTTTGGGGTTTTTTATGAAAGTTAAAACTGCAGAACTGTTATAATCAAATTTCCATAAATTCATCTACACTTAACACACACCCTGAACAACTTTTGGATATAGATCACAATTTCAACCCAGATAAATGCTTTGTAAAATGGAGATCATAGTGTTAAATAAGATCTTAATTGTCTTTAGTAAATGGAAGGTGATAGCATCTTGTAAGCAAACAAGTATGGCATGATGGAAGGAGAAATTGGGATACACAACATCACTTAACCATTGCTTTATTTTCTAAACACTTACATAAATATGTACTAAAAAAATAGGCACTTAATTAACAGTAGTTTAAATTAACAGACACAGACGTAAGAAGTTTTATAAAATTGGCAGTTGCATAGATTCACCACTAGATTAATGCTTTGGATGGATGTTGATTTGGAACCTAAAATTAAACAATTAGACTGATTTCATAAGTTGCTGTGAGGATGCAGAGTTACTATATAAAATGGATATTTAGGTAATGCAATATTGGCAGTATGCCCAGGGTATAACATGATGCATAAAGCTCTGTTGCAGTAAAATCCTGCTGTCAAGAAACACTGCCCCTTTCAGGATATATTTATAGCTTTAATTTAGTTCTATGCAATTCCGTGATGCATGTCACAGAATCTGAGGAAGAGTCAATTACAATTAACAAGGCTGTAATTATTAATTATTAATCAATAGAATATTTCTTAGAACATAACTTCCTATGCTTACTAATGCTTCACTTCTGAAGGGACATTGTTTACCAGATTAAGCCTAAATAGTGAGGCATATGTAAATATCACAAAAGTATATCCATTGCTGAAATACACTATTGGCGTGGACTCTGGGCTTACAAGAATGGAGTTAAAATCCAAATATGTTTTTATTTTGTATTATCAGAACTGATTCTGAAGCCAATTAACTTATCAGGTGGGACTCCTGCAGAGTAGACCAGAAGTACATGAGAAAATTTTCATTTTGCATTTTTCACTATAAAACTAAATACAAGTCTTTAAAAATGGAGAGTGTTTTCCATTCAAGTAATGTTCAGGATTAAAAAAAAAAATGTACGTTCCCTGCTGATCAGTTCCATTTTGCACGATGAGAACCAGCTTCTGTCTAAAAAGAATATTGAAGTTTTTATTCCAGACCTGGTCTGAAAATCCACTTTGTGTTCAGCATTGTGGCTTTACTGCCTCAGATTTGCACCAAGTTCTGAAGCTCATTAAATTCTCAAATAAGGTAATCATCTCTCATCTGTTTTTAGTTGGTGATAAATGTTCTGGTCCTATTATCTACACAGTTAATTGAGTAATGTGCTTTGTAGTATGATATATTAAGAAATTGGAATTATAAACTATTGAATCTTCTAATTTTTTTTGTGAATTAGAATTAAGTGTGTAGAAGAGACTAAGTTTTAATGAATTTTAAGATAGGTTCTTTCATGTCAGTATTCATATATAGTAAGAGAGAAACCATGGCTGCTTTAGGGTAGTCATCGAGAATGTTATGGCAGTAATCACTTTTTATTTTAAAGATAATTTGAAGCATTATAGTAGTTTACAGTTTGTCGTTGTTTCACTGCACGTGCTTAACTTGCTTTTTATTTTCTTCCTGCTCATCACAGAAAGTTGGTAATGCATGCCTTTTAGCACAGAGTGATGTAAATGCTATTTAAATTCTTGGAGCTGCAGAAGGCGGCCTGACAAATGACATAAAGTTTAATGGTACATGCTGGGAACTAAAGTGTGTGCAAAACCAGTGTAGATCGGTTTTATTCTGTAACGCACGCATGCTGGGATGTGCCAGATGTTCCAGACACATTTTTGGATGATAGGCAGTCTCATTGCTACTATGATAAGTAAAATAATTAAGATAGTCTGAGAGAATCATGTGTATTCAGCTCCATATGACTGAAGGAGGAGTCTTCTAGTGCCAATTTTGTAGGAAAAGTGCCTATATTTTGTTTCTTCCTTCATGGTTTTGCAGGAAGAAACCAAGCTGTGCTAAGTGTCAAGGATG